TGGCAGCCGAGTCAACTCCTTCTTTACAGGTATCGTCTGGCGACTGGAGGAGAGATCACCTCAGCATTGGATGAGAAGTGATCGGAGGCATGACGGTGCTGACGTGGTCCGATGAGTTATGAATACTATCGGGACTAGAGGCATGATGATACCTACAAGGCATTAACTGCGACGTCGACGTTTGTCAGTGTAGGATCTCGAGGCCGAAGTCCTTTAGCTTGGCCGAGAAGTAACGCCTTTCGAGTCGTCATCAGGAGGCGTCGAATAACTGATTGACTAGACTCGCTGTGAGTCGTCTTCGACAAGAGGGTCGACTAGTATTGCCTTTCGAGTCGACATGAAGGAAAGTCGACTCAGCGAGTTGGTTGAGTTGTAACCCTCATGGGTCTCAGCCGCCAATTTGATTGGGGCATTGTATGCAGAAGTACACCCGTCTATTATTGGCCAAGAGTTGTACTTAGGTGATTGAAAATACCATAACAAAAAAAGCTACTACATATATTATAATATTAATTGTCAATATCTTATAGTCTAACCAAAAGTTATTTAGTAGTAAATAACATTCTCGCAGAAAATTATCAATCAACAATAGTAAGTATAAAAATACATAAATAGTATTTATATTCTCAAAATGCATAAATATATACTTCATGGCTATAAAAATTTAACTTATGTTATTTTATCAAAATATCCCACTTCACAAAATTATTCCTATTTATCCTACTAAATATCCCACTAGTAAAAAAATATTCCACTTTAACAATTATCTAATTTTGCATGAAAATGTCCCAATTGACTAACACGTTCTGAGATTTTAAAATTATGTTAAATTTCAAAAAATCGCATAAATGAGGTAAACATGCGGAGCAATGAGTTTGATTTACAATAAATCAAAGTTCATGATGGAAATATTTGAATGAAGAGTATTGATAAAGGAGAGCAACATACAACAAATTATACTGTACGTTTTAGATATTTACCCCATATGTTCACGTCCTTTGTGACGTTTTTCAATAGCCCTCAAAAATGTTTTGCTAAATTCTCAAACTTTACTAGGACTTTATGCAAAATCCCCAAAAAAAATCATGATTTTTGTTTTATTCTTTATTTTTTACTAGTATTTAGACCTATACAAAGCACGAGTTCTAAAAGATTTTCTGTAAATATTGAACATGTTATCAAAATAAAGTATTCTGCTTTAGATATGAAGTATAGGGGTGCTATTTGCTTTTTTTTATTCGTTCAGATATTCGATCAAGTTTGATTCAATAGTTCATTTAGTACTAAACAAATAATTTTCAGGGTTTGGCTTATAAATGAATAGAATTTAACCAAATGTATGTTTGATTCGGTAGTTCATTAACTATTCGATTCGATAACATTTTAATAGAATTTAACCAAATGTATGTTCGATAGTTCATTAACTGTTCGATTCGGTAGTCCTATTAATTGAACTTATTGCAAATATTACTTATATAAATTTTTATTTACAAATGCTACCCATATAAATAGGTAAGAGTGGATTCTAGGGCTAGGGAAGTTAAAATGTTAAAGTTCAAGAAGTGGAGTCAGTCAATTGTGTGGAAAATTGAGCAAATATTTACCAAGTTATATGGAAAAATCTCTATTCCTCTTCGCAGTCTGATCTTCAGATCCTAATTAGGATGGTGTGCTTATTAGTAATCAAAAGTAAGCTCAATATAAATCTATTGTACCATATGAAAAGTCCTAAAATCTTTAAAAGAAAGCTAAAAGGTTATTTTGAGAATTGCATTCAATTGTATGAGATGTTATAAAGCTAAAAGGTTGTACAATTATTCATATTTAGTTTCACATTAAATGAATATTTGTATAACCGCAAATACAATTGTCTAAGTATTTTCATGCATGTTTCTTACACGCAGTGAGCCTTTTGAATGTTGCTTCAACAAAATAGACAATTTATTCGAGCATAAAACTTTGATTAAAAAGATTCCTCCAAAATCTTACATAAAAATGTTAATAAAGATTTTTAACAATTGAACACTACGTATAACTGCAGATACAAATTAGCATTATTAGTCATAAGCTTGCCAATATTCGGAACAAATAGCAGACCAAATCACATTGGCTCAACAGCAACCCACAACCAATTTCAAAAATTAATTAATCCAATACAAAAGAGTATAATTAAAAAGAAAAATAAAGATCAAATGGGAAGAAACCCAAACCTCTTAGTAACAAAAACGCATCTTTTATACAACGTCTGATATCAAGATCAGTCAAATTATGTTGATGGTAGAACCTCGTCAACGACATCGCCTTCATTTTACACCCCCCCACAAGCACATTTACTCCGAACGCTAACCCTAGTTTCATCACTAGCCTCCCTAAACCCTCGTTACCCCCGTCCATCGTCATATCCATTCTCTTTCTCCAAGGGGCTGATCCCGTTGTCCCATAAGTATTTTCGATGCTTAGCCCTAATTTCCTCCATCATCGCCTAGTACAGAGATCTGTAGCTCTTGTAGAGGGCCTTTGATCGATGAGATCGACGGCGGAGGACTTCTTCTCGAGAGAGGAGAGACGAGGTCGCAAGAGGGAAGAAGGTTTCCTCTTCATTTGAAATTTGCGGAGAGGAGAGAAGAGCCACCATGGCCGAGCTTTCTCTCTCTAACCCGTTTTTTTCTCTCTCTATCCCTCTCTTGCGAAAGAATTTTGTTTTTGTTTTTTTCCCAATATTCGCAAGTGGAGCAGTTTGTGGGTTGCCGTCCATTGTCTGGGTTTGGAGAAATCAGTAACTGCAGTAGTTTTGTGGGTGAGTGGGGACAGTTATATGAGACATGTTGAGCGATTATTTGTGTATTAATTTTTCTTTTAATAAAAAAATAAAATGCTAAGTTGGAGATGCTGATTGGGATTTACTGTTCATCTCATTGTTCACCTTTGGTTAAAAGAAAAAGACGATTTGAAATTGACACTGTATAAGAGGCTAATTAACTACTGAATGCATGTGATACTGATACATTCATCTATAAACAACAAAACAAAAACTAATAAGATTCTAATTAAACTACAAAAAATAAAAATAGAAACATATCTTCCCTTTGGTCTCCTCCCACTCCTCTCAGATTTTTGACTCCGAAGCCATTTCCCAAAACACACCTCTGGCCGCCATTCCAAATGCCCCTCACTTACCAGATCTAAACCCTCTCTTCCCACAATACCCTCGTCCCGCCGCCACGCCGCCGCTGGAATTGGCTTCTTCGGAGCGAATCTCGCCTGAACCAGATCCTAATCCCCGCTTCGAGAAGATCATCAAGAACGCCTCATGGCGAAAGGACACTCGAAGCTCTTCACCAGTGCAAATCCCTAATCGACCGCCTCTCTTCCCAAAAGCCCCACACCCTTCCCAAAAACGCCCCGGACTCCCCCGGAACCTCCTCCCTCCGCCCTCCCCGGCCCTCTCCAGACTCCGCGGACCTCCGATCTCTCCCTCGCCGACTCCGAATCGATCTTGACCCCTCTCATCTCAGCTTGCGCTTCGAATTCGATTAAGATCGCCGATCCAGCCCTTGATTGCATTCAGAAGCTAGTTTCTCACAATTTGCTCCGCGGCGAGGCCGATCCGGCTGCGGGCCCCTCCGCACGACTGCTATCGCAGCTCATTGGAGCCGTGTGCGCTTGCCACACGCTCGGCGACGACACTGTCGAGCTCCTCGTGATCAAAACCCTTCTTTCTTCTGTCACTTCGACTTCTTTGAGGATACATGGTGATTGCTTGCTTCAGATCGTTAGGACTTGTTACGATCTCTACTTGTTGAGCAAGAATCCTATCAATCAGACTACGGCGAAGGCTTCTTTGATTCAGATGCTGGTGATTGTGTTTCGAAGAATGGAGGCGGACTCAAAGTTACCGCTGCCAGATGCAATGCCGAATTGCTGCTGGCTGAGGCTGATGGAGCCTATGGGAGATCGGCCTGGGCCAGTTGCTGATGTTAACATGGCTCAATTTGTGCAGGGTTTCATTACTAAGATTATTGGGGATATTGATGTGGTTTTGAATCCAGTGACTCCTTCGACGGTTCAAAGGACTCATGATGGTGCATTTGAAACCACGGCGGTGGAGCATACAAACCCTGCGGATTTGCTGGACTCGACAGATAAGGATATGTTGGATGCTAAGTATTGGGAGATTAGTATGTATAAGACTGCTTTAGAGGGGAGGAAGGATGAATTGGGAGGAGAAGTTGGTGTTGTTGATAGGGATGATGATTTGGAGGTTCAGATTGGGAATAAATTGAGACGAGATGCATTTTTGGTGTTCCGGGCTCTTTGTAAGCTCTCGATGAAGACACCGCCTAAGGATGCATTGGCAGATCCGACGCTGATGAGGGGGAAGATTGTAGCTTTGGAGCTGCTGAAGATCCTATTGGAGAATGCCGGAGCTGTGTTTAGGACGAGCGATAGGTATGCCCTTTGGGTACTCATTATTTGATTTCATTTTCATCCATATGCTCTAAATCATGGTTTCATTTTTTTTTAAGTGTTTGGTATGCAAGTGCATAATGCATAAACGAACTATACAGCGGTTAAACTGATTACGTGAATTTAAAATATATATGCACGTATAAGAAAAGATGACTGTGAGGTGGCAGTTTATTTTACTAAATGAGTTGCCAAGTGATAAGAGTTCGACGCCTATCCTGCTAGTCATATTGGAGCAGGTGATCCCCCCTATATACATATTCTTTTTGGGTATTCATCATTTCATTTCATTTCATTTGCATACTCCAAGTGATTGTTTTATCTAAAGATAGTTGTTAGTAATGATTTTTCTTTAATTGGATGTTGCGATAATTTGCTAGTGCAAGATAACACAACAGCGGCAACAACAACAACAACAAAGCCTTTATTCCAAATTTTTGGGGTCAACTATATGAATCCCAACTTCCATTCAGTTCTGTTGAAGGCTATCTCAAGCTCTCCTTCACTAAGTTAAGCAATTTCCCATTGCAAGATGATACTTACAAGGTCTAGAATTTGATCCTCTTTTACTAAGAGACCGATTCGATCTAAATCATCAAACAATCTTTTGATCCATACGTTGCAGTTAAATTAGAAATGTACTGCGACACGTTTCTCAGATTTAGCTAGGTCATAGTTCTTTTGAGACACTGTAATGCAAGTAATAAACTTGGTCATTAGCTTTGTTTCTAGTCTCCTTGGTTTATGCCCTTAAACCTAGTTCATTGACAATGATATATACAACTTCAGGGTTTAGGGTTTGGCAACAACTTAACCAAAGAAAATTGGTCCACTCTTTTAATGACTTAACATATATGAAACTTTTAAGAATTTTCCCATCAAACTTGTTGTCCTCCACAAATATCTCAATCAGTTAGCTTCCAATAAGAAAGATTATTGGAGGTGTCCTTTCCCTGGTTGTATCTGAATTCAATAGTTTGAAATTCTGTGAGACCTTATTTTTCACAAGGACAAAAAGAGAAACTATAAGACCTGTGAATCTGTGATGCAGTTCAAGAATCAGAGACATACCTCATTCTCGACGATTCACATCTAATTCGGGTGTAGAAAGTCAACAATTTCGTGCCTTGTATTCATTCATTGTTATGCCTTGTCCAACCAGAACAGTATGGTCTATGCTGAGCAAATTCTAAGTTGTTCACAGCTTACTGCTTCCAGATTTTTCTCGGTTAGTAAAAGATGATCTGTCCGGGCCTTTGATGCGCACTTGAGTGCTTGGTGGCTGTAGGCTCTTAGCGCCAGTGCCCTCAGGTGTCTAGACCTGCCTAGTCCTTTGCTAACTCTGCTTTTTCACCATGGTTCAAGTAAAGTGGGGCCCACATTAGTAAAAATCTAGGAGCTTCACTGGAGAAATCTCCATAATTTTGTGACCAATCACCTACTTGCTTTCATGTTGTTCTCGTATACTATGTGTAAGGAAGTTGGAGAATGAAACTATTTGATGGCATATTTGGTTTATTGATGCACTGTAAAAATTTTTAGAATTGTGCAGTCAACCATTTTCAAAAGTAGACACAAGTATAGAATTGAACACTTGATCCGAGTTATTCTGTGTTCAATGGTAACTTACAAGAATCAATTTTGATTAACTGATAAAGTCTTGCAAACAGGGACCACTATTTGGTAACCTTGTTGGCAAGTTTATGTCCAACTGCTTTCCTTCCAGGTTTCTTTCTTTAAACCTGGTTATGGATAGATAAGTGCAACTTCAATGATTTTGATAGCATCTAAGAGTCAAACTCAAAAAAGATGGGATTGCCTCCTCTCATTTGTAACCTTCAAGCATTTATGCTTGAGTTCTACTATTTTGCTAGGACATCCCACTCCAACTACCAATGTTACAGAAGGCTCTGGGCAGACTAGGCGTTTGAACTAGCACCTAGCGCCTAGGCGTCTAGGCGGCGCCTACGCGTTTGGCTATTTTATAAATTATTTAATTATAATAATTAATAAAATATGTATTAAGTTCATACAAATTTGCCAAAAAAAATAACAATCTTAAATCCATAATAAACCATGCATAATTAAATATTAACTAGCCAACATAATAACTAACAAGGTTATAGAAAGCGTTAGGTGGCCTAGGCATTGGACCCGATGCCTAGAGCTTAGGAGGTTTTTTTTAGTTTTTAATTATAATAATTAATAGTAAATGTCAATGTTATAGAAAGCTTAGTTATCGGACTGGTATCAAGGCGGATCTCTTTCTTCATTTATGTGGTGGTCGAGGAGGTTTTGCTAAAGGTCAGAGGGGGTAGTGGAGGTGAACATATATGGAGGTTAAAGGAGTTCAAAGGAGGTTGGAGGACGTGGAGGCTGCAACATAGAAAATCACGATCAAGGCCTAATGGGTGCAGTCCACGTAAGCAGACAATGCTCCCCTAAACACTCCGAAAACCTAGGTGGGCAGTCTAGGTACCGCCTGGGCGCTAGACACTAGCTAGACGGCCTAGGTATCGCCTAGGCCTAGGCGTATGCCTAGGCAGATTAGGTAGAGGTTTTTTAAAACAGTGCCAACTACTCAATAAATAGTATCACTGGAGGTCCCTTCTTTTAATATCCCTTCAACAGCCTGAAAGTCTTTGATGACCTCATTCCTGTTTATTCTCAAGCTATATCTCACAATAGAAAATACGTAAAGAGGTCCCTTCTTTTAAAATCCCTTAACCAGCTTGAAAATCTTTGATGGCTTGCATTCCCATCTCAAGGCATATCTCAAAATAGCAACACGTATTAGCATTTGGTTTGACTATTAGCGTTTGACTACTTATGTTGAGTTTTAACCAAAACTATGATCAGTATATGACATGTTCTTATCAAAGTCATCATCATTTTCTGAATGATGTCAGCCAAGGAGCATGACTAGACAAAGGAAGTGACCATGATTTCACAACTGGTTGTCACCTTAACACCATTCTTTCACATAGTTAGTTGTCTATTTGTAAGTGCATGGATGCATGCTGCAAAATTATTTTGATGAAAACAGTTCTGCAATGGATTTAAGCTAGAAAGCCGTTAGTGAATGTACTAGATAAAGAAACAAAAGTGTTAGGCACTAGAGCAAAGCAAAGTACGCCTTAGATTAGAATATGCTTATGGTCAAGCAATTAACATGATGTTTTCCATATCTTTCTTATTGTTCATTTGGTCGTTTGTTCCCTTAAATGATCTAGAAAGGCAAATATTTTTTTGTATAGTAAATTGCTGGAGAGTGTATAGTCATAATTTTTTATCGCTTAAAAACTAAAACCAATATAACCTCCCTTTTAAAGTATAAAATTAATTAATCCTCAAGCTTCACTATGATGTTAGAATTTAGGCACAAGCAGATGGTAGCAGTCAAAGAGATGTATTTCCAGCCATCCAGGTTCAAATCCATAAGCATGTAGTTAAGATGTAATTTAAAAGGATTAATTGCATATTAGTCTCTTAAATCATCCTTAAGTGCCAAATAGTCCTCAAATCTCATTATTTGCTCATTAGTCCCTTAAATCATCAATTTTCTTACCAACTAGTTCCTCCATTACAACATTTGTTAATTCCTCTAACTTGAGTTGGGTTAACCCTTAACCTAGTATCTTAAATTACCTAAGTGCCCTCGAGTATTTGGGTTTTTGAGTAATTGGGTTGCGGATTTAAACTTGTTATGAAATGCAGGTGGTGTTTTTAACGATAGTGTTAATATGAGGGGGTATAATGGGAAATCCATGTGTCTCCATTACATTTAAACATATTCACCCTCATTATTAACGTCACCTAACAAGAGGGACAAGATTGCAAGAAAATTGAAGATTTTAGGGACTCATAAGCATATAATGAGATATGAAGGACTATTTGGCAATTGATGTTGATTTAAGGGGCTAATATGCAATTAACCCAATTTAAAACCAAAATTATCATTGTATGAAAACTCAAGTTTCTAGCATAAAAGTATGCTCAATATGTAGTGTTTAACAGAATATGAGATAATAACTTAAAATCTTTTGTAGAGCTTTAGAGTTTTCATGTGGTTGTAAGTACTTAAGAATCCCTGTTGTTAGGGGTGGTAAACGATCGAATCGAATCGAATACTAAGGTGTTCGTATTTGTATTTGTTTAAAATTATTGAATTCGAATGCAGACTCTAATATTCATATATCTAGTTTTTCAAATTTGAACTCGAATACTTGGTATTTGATAAATATTCATGAATATTTACAAATACTTATCGAATACCAAAGTATATTTATTCTGCTAAAAAAATTTGATTTTCAAATAATATTAAAATTCATATATAAAAATTATTTCTTTATAATATATGATATATATATTTAAATTAAAATTTAATTAGAAAACAGATTTAACATTATTTAAGTCTTAAAATCAGTATATAAAACTTAAGTAGAAATGGTAAGTAAGTTAAAAATATGACATCATATGTGCAATAATACAAATAATAAGGTGTGATCAAATTTTAAACGAATATTTAATAGACAAACGAATCGAATATAGATCTTGTTAAATTTTATTCGTTATTAAACTCGAATACTAAAAAATATTTGTTTAGTGGTAAATGAACTACCGAATCGAATATGACCAAATAGTTATTCGAACAATTATAGAACTATTTGTTAATTATTTGGTTCGTTTCCACCCCTATCTGTTGTTAACTTGTACTCCCTTTTCTTTTACTTCGACTTCATTCTCAGCTAGATGGCTTGTTTCCTGTCAACTAAAGAGCTGTGTTTTCTGTGTCTATAGATGATACTTGTTCCCAGAATATTGATTAATGCTTCACCCTCTTGATCAATAGGTGGAATTTGCTAAGACAAAGGGAAAACTGTTCTTGACTACTTGGTTTTCCTCTATCTTGGTTGGTGCTGTTATAGTGAAATTCTTTTCAAATTGTGCGACTCGTTTATATGAATCCTCACATCTATAGCATCTGAATTCTTAAACTATTGCGTTAAAGTCGCTACAACTTAAATCATCTCAATGAATTGTATTACACTCATAGAGGAACATAAAACAATGTTTTGTTTTTTTTTTCTTTTTCTATCATCACTTATCTTATGTTCGATCACCCATTCTTATTATTCTTTTGGTGAGATTGGTATCTGTAACAATGTTTTCATTTTAACCCTTAGTCCCCTCTTCTGTAGCTGGATAGCATGACCCATTAGGTTGGCCAAGCATTCGTGAATTAGGAATACTTTATCACAGAATACCAACTTAGAGCTGTGCTTTCTGATTATCCATTATCGACAAAAGAAATTCTCTTAGTGAGAAGTGGGAACTATATGATTATGTAGGTCCAGTAAGACATGCTTGCTTTTTCACTTACTTTTCATATATTGACTGGTGTCTCCAATGTTAAAGATTTTACTTGTTTCTGCCATCTCGAAATACCTCTAGAGAAGCTCGTTATATTTTAAGAATGCAGAGCTATTCTTTTTATTTATCTATCGGTATTTTCTGTTCAAATTTATTTCCCGTTCCTCTAAAAGAAAGTAAGCTGCCTCTTACAACACCATATGTGACCTGATGTTATTATATCATGTTTATATCAAACTTCTATCTTCTTTTCCATGATCTGCAGATTGACTCATTTATGCACTACTATCTGTTGTCAGCTCTATTGTTTGTAACCAGTTTTTAATCAGATTTTGTTTCTCTCGTCCTGCAGGTTTTTAGGTGCAATTAAACAATATTTATGCTTATCACTACTGAAGAACAGTGCGTCAACTCTTATGATAGTTTTTCAGTTATCTTGTTCCATTTTCATGAGCCTTGTTTCAAGATTCAGACCAGGATTAAAGGCAGAAATTGGAGTTTTCTTTCCAATGATTGTCCTCAGAGTTTTGGAAAATGTTGCCCAACCTATTTTTCAGCAAAAGATGATAGTACTTCGGTTCTTGGAAAAGCTCTGTATGGATTCACAGATTTTAGTTGACATTTTTGTTAACTATGATTGTGATGTCCACTCACCAAACATTTTTGAGAGGTACTGTGGTCAATAATGGCGTGCCTGTTTAACACGTATCTGTCTGCATTTTTCTACTTCATAAATATTTTGCTGAATGCTTCAGTCAACCCACAAAGCATTCATATGGATTTGTATTGAACATTGTATTCATCCTTTACGGTCTTATGAATCAAGCTATACTATAATCTTATGTTTTACTGAGTCACATCTTTGCGATCACACATTGCAGGATGGTCAATGGCCTGCTTAAAACTGCTCAAGGTCCCCCGCCTGGTGTTCCTACGACCTTAGTACCCCCTCAGGATGTCACCATGAAAAATGAAGCTATGAAGTGCTTGGTGGCAATTTTGAAGTCAATGGGGGATTGGATGAACAAACAGTTGAGAATACCAGATCCTCTTTCTCCTAAAAGTTACGAAACTCTTGAGAATAATGATGAAGGTGGAAGTGATGTTTTTGTGCCAAATGGCTATGTGGAGGAGGTTGCTGAAGGCATGGAGTCTCATTCTGAATTTGCAAATGGAGTCTCAGAAGCTGCATCATTGGAACAGAGGCGTGCTTACAAGCTTGAACTTCAGGTAAATGAGTCTTTTTTTTGTTGCATAATTTGTAGATCTGATTTTATGTCTATTAATGCAGGAAGGTATAAATCTTTTCAACCAAAAGCCTAAGAAAGGAATTCAGTTTCTTATTAATGCAAAGAAGGTTGGTGATTCAGCAGAGGAAATAGCTGCGTTCCTTAGAAATGCTTCTGGGTTGAACAAAATGATGGTTGGGGATTATCTAGGAGAGAGGGAAGATTTATCTCTAAAGGTCATGCGTGCATATGTTGATTCTTTTGATTTTCAAGATATGGAGTTTGATGAAGCAATCAGGACCTTTCTGCAAGGCTTTAGGTTGCCAGGAGAAGCACAAAAGATTGATCGGATCATGGAAAAATTTGCTGAGCGTTATTGCAAATGCAATCCAAAGGCTTTTAGTAGTGCTGATACTGCTTATGTCCTTGCATACTCAGTAATACTGCTCAACACCGATGCACATAATCCTATGGTCAAAAACAAGGTCTATAACTGTTCCCATAACATATACATGATCAACTGTACATTGCAGATTGCAAAACAAAACTTTAATTCGATTGTTTGATGCAGATGTCTCCAGATGACTTCATAAGGAACAATCGTGGTATTGATGATGGAAAAGATTTACCTGAAGAGTATATGAGATCTTTATATGAAAGAATTTCAAGGAAGGAAATAAAGATGAAAGAAGATGATTTGGCTCCTCAACAAACACAATCTATGAATTCTAACAGGATCTCAGGCTTGGATAGCATTTTAAATATTGTGATCCGCAAGAGAGGAGACCAACTTATGGAGACTAGTGATGATCTTGTAAGGCATATGCAAGAGCAATTCAAAGAAAAAGCTCGCAAGTCCGAGTAAGTCCATCTATATTCTCTAAGTTCTCTTATACCCCTTTACTAAGTAGCATCCGTGAAGCATTGATCCATGAAGCACGAGCATGGATGCTGGTAAACACTTGATGTAAACACGAACACAATTAATTTGTAAAATACTGGAGCAGCAGGACCCAAGTAAACATATGTTATAACTGCGTATATATTTATGTAGGATAAGGCTATATATAACATGCAGAATGTAACTAAGAAATTCGTATTGACATGTGAAAATACACCTTAGACCATCCATTCAATGATTTAAATTGTTTATCGTGATCCATGCACTCTAAAACTCAGGGATCCAGTATCACAGAGATTGAAATTTTGTAGCCATACATCTCCTGATAAAATATAAATGGGTTCTGCTGTCTTAGAAATTGGTTACTTCTGAGTTTCTAGAAATGTAGGATCAATTATAAATCACATACTTGTTGATCCACTTAGATTTTCATATCTTTGATAATAGAAATGCGATAATTAATGGTTTGGGTCTTCAAGATGGATGATCTGACATTTATTTCATAGTTATAAACTTCTTAGTTACATCATATGTGTAAAATTATCTTACCTATTTATATATGCATACATAACGTATGTATGTATATAAATCATGATAAGAACAAGTTAGTTAATAATATGCTTTCATCAGAATAAAACTAATCAATTGCTTAAACTAATTCAAGTCAAATTATTTTACTTTGGTGGTGGGTAGAGATGGGTGTCTCATTTACAAGAGAGATCTCTTGTTGATTTTGAGCCACATTACAATTTGAGAAGGGGACAACTGGATGTATGGTTTCCACTTTGTCGTTTAACTATTAATTATAGGATAAATAAGGTAATCTAGACCAATGTAAATATCGTGAGCCTAAGTAGACAAATAGTGTTAAGGAAGAATTTTATACCTAAAAATTGAAGCTTTAGGTGGCATATGGCTAGGCATGTTCAACAGATAACATGGTGTGCCTATGGAGTATCGGGGTCTGACATGCATCCAACATAGTGACTGGAACCACAAAGAAGTATCATGTTTTATAGCTTGCAGTCTTCTACACAATTTCTACTCTTATTATTCTCCCAAATGCAGTCTTATGGAGAACAGCGATTTTAAATATTCTATTTCTTCCCACATTTTCATAGGTATTCGAAATTGTAGACAGATTATTTACCTAAAAGATTTGCTTAACAATGAGCATTATTTTCCATGTCATGCATTAATATTTAATGTGGATTGTCTTTTGATGCTTGTGAATATCAGATCAGTATATTATGCAGCAACGGACGTCCTAATCTTGAGGTTCATGATTGAGATATGCTGGGCACCTATGCTGGCTGCCTTCAGTGTTCCGCTTGACCAAAGTGATGATGAAATAGTGATAAGCTATTGCCTCGAAGGATTTCGTGCTGCGATCCATGTTACAGCAGTCATGTCTATGAAGACTCATAGAGATGCCTTTGTTACTTCATTGGCGAAGTTCACATACCTCCACTCAGCTGCTGATATCAGACAGAAGAATATTGATGCAATTAAGGTTTGTTTCTTGTATCTCCAGTTACTTCAACTGATTTAATCACACACCTCACTTTCCATTTTTCTAACTTACTTTATGGACAGTCATACTGCATGCATCACATTGCAGCCTGAAAAGCAATTATGTTCAGAAATTAATCAAGTCACATAATTTTATTTGTTTGGAACTCTAAACTGTGCGTGGTATACACCACACATAAACACTTGCATACATCTTTATGTATAAATACATATGTACATAGTATACACAGATATACATATTAAGATGTCCCTCCCCCCAAGACAACACGCATACTATATGCATGGAAAGAGACCCTACCACCACGCACAAATGATATGCACATTCCATTTTCTAACTTGTCTCTTATCATATCATATTTTCCCATCTCATAAGGTCCTCTGTGTGGTCGCAAATCAAAGTAAAGAAAGCTTCCAACAGAAAATCAGTCATGTTTTTCAATCACTAACTCTGCCAAACAGACGATAAAGCTCATTTAACACCTGTTTTGACATGAAATTCACAGTGTCCATTTTTGAAAGTATATATCTAGCAATGTTACATTAAACGCTAGGCGCTTCTAGGCGTCGGACTTGGCACCTAGCGTTTAGTCGCCTAGGCGGGCGCCTAAGGGGTTTCTGGGCGTTTTTTTCTTTTTTCTTTTTTTAATTGTGATAATTGAAGATAAATATATATACTCAATCAAAGATGCATAAATACTAAAATACCAACACTATTAACTAAATTGTTTGGTTTACCAATTACAATAGCTCTTTGTATGATTATACTTCTCAACTCAAATTATAAGTTCATCTCAACAGTAAAAAACTCATTCTCAACTTAAATTACTGTTAACTTTTAAGTTACTGTTAAGTTTAAGTTAACAATAAACTTAAACTTAAGTTTACTGTTAACTTAAGTTTACTGTTAACTTAAGTTTACTGTTAACTTAAGTTTACTATTTACCTAAACTTAAGTTTACTATCAATAAAAAACTTAATATTAATTTAAACTTAAACTTAAGTTTACTGTTAGCTTAAACTTAAGTTTAAACTTAAACTTAAGTTTAAGTTTACTGTTAACTTACACTTCTTAAGTTTAAGTTATTGTTATTAACTAACTTAAATAGATATTTAAGAAGTACTCTTTACCTTGTTAGTAATTACAGAGATCGGAGGAGCTCGGCAATGTTACAGAAGGCGTTAGGCAGACTAGGTGTTTGAGCGAGCGTCTAGTACCTACACCCGTAGGCGTACGCCTAGGCAGCGCCTAGGCGTTTGACTATTTTTAAATTATTTAATTATAATAATTGATAAAAAAGATACGGCGAGTCTCTTAGGGATGTGCCGATGGCGGATTGCCCCACAGCTCTCTCACGCGGCGCTTTTTGATGGTTGGTGAATATTCGGCCGGGGTATCACATTCTACACACAGGCTCTGTGTGCTATCTCGAGCCGTATATCCCCTGCAGGTTTGCCCGTCAGTTTGGGTACGACCAATTGTACGTGGGCAACACCAATCCCCGCCTACACTTCGAAGGAGGACTGGTGGATGGAGCTCGGGGGTGGTTCTGGACCCATGCCAGTGGTACCTAGGCTCGTTTTGAGTTATCGGTGAAGGATCGCGACTTACACCATACGCTCCTATACTGCCGATGGTATCGGGGCGCCAGTGCTAATCCCGCTTTAAATTATTTAATTATAATAATTGATAAAAATATGTATTAAATTCATATAAATTTTTTAAAAAAGATAACAATCTTAGTTCCACAATAAATCATGCATACTTAGATACTAAATAGTCAAAACAATAATTAACAAGACTAAAGTCTTAAGATGTTTTCTTTTTTAATTTTTAATTACAATAATTGATAGTGAATGTCAATGTTATAGAAAGCTTAGATGCCGGACTGGTGTCTAGACGGATTTCTTTCTTCATTTAAATGGTGGTCGATGAGGTTTTGCTGAAGGTCGGAGGAGGTAGTGGAGGTGTTCATATTTTGAGGACGTATAGACTACAACACATAAAATTACAACCAAGGCCTATAGGGTGCAATTCACATAAGCAGACAATGCTCCCCTAAACACTCGTAAAATCTAGGTGGGCAGTCTAAATACCGTCTAGGCGCTAGGCACTGATTAGACGGCCTAGGTACTACCTAAGCCTAAGCGTACGCCTAAGCGGACTAGGCGGAGGTTTTTTAAAATAGTGATATCTAGAAAGCCTCCCACTTTTTTTTCATGAGAAAGTTCACCTTTTAGTTGAGATAACAACTCCCAAGAATCTGATTCAATCAACTCACATTCAATCCCTGGCAAAAAAATTAGCTCTCCTTTAACTCCAATCCAAAGAGCACCTAGGGTTTACTGGATCTGGGAATCCTGGAGTGAAGCTTTATGGGCTTCGAAGGTCAAACTGTGAAGGATTGGTTGACTAATGAAATATATAGTGGTCAACATGGCCGGTACCATTTCTGGTCGAGTCATTTTCATTTTTGATGCCTATTTTTGCTCCCCCACATTCTTATCAAGTATTTTATTGAATAATAGTGTGACCAAAATCATCTTCCATGTTTCTTAATGTCCTGCCATTTAACTTTGAAAGTAACTATCATTATGTTCCATTGATGTACTTCTCTAACTTTTTGTTTGATTTTCTGATTATGTTTCTTTTAGATCTTGATAAGCACATGACAATTCTTTGCTTAACATTTTAGCGTACTACTGTTAGATAGCAGGCACAATTTTTTTCTTATGTCAGACCTTTGTTGTAGTTTGTCATAAGTAAACATGGTTTCCAACTGTTAGATTCATCAAGGTTAGAGGTTTTAGCAAAATCATGTCCTTAATAAATAAAGTTGAGAAGGTATAACTTAATATACGAAAGCAGTTTTGAGTCAATTGATTGGAATATAATGCATGCTGATTGCTGAATGACCAATCAAAATTATGCTCATACTATAAGTTTTGTTTATGACATTATTTATGGTGCCAACATGTTTGTTCAGAACAAACAATTATCATGTAACTGACATTAAATAAATAGTGAACTAGGTCCATAATGGTCTTATGGAATCACACATATTGGCTTCAGACAGTTTGCTTTTCTTTTTCTCTCCCCTTCTTGTTAATTTTATTAAATGTTACTGAGCAAAAGCTCAAGAAACCAGTTAATGATTGTGCACGCAATCTGTGTTTTAATTTATGATACTGAAACCACATCATACATTTAGTAATCTACCATCAAAATATTGTTAAACATGATGTGATCATTGGTTGCCACAGGCAATTATGTTAATTGCAGATGAAGATGGTAACTATCTGCAAGAAGCCTGGGAGCATGTCTTGACATGCGTTTCACGGTTTGAGCATTTGCATCTCTTGGGCGAGGGTGCTCCTCCAGATGCTGCATTTTTTGCAGTACAACAAAATGAGCTTGACAACTCCAAACAAGCTAAGACATCAATCCTTCCTGTTTTGAAAAAGAAAGGACCTGGCCGCATGCAAAATGCAGGTACAACTGCAAGGAGGGGCACATATGATAGTGCTGGTGTTGGTGGTCATGCTTCTGGATCAGTTACATCTGAACAGATGAACAACTTGATTTCCAATCTGAATATGTTAGAACAAGTTGGAATATCTGAGATGAACCACATATTTATAAGGAGTCAAAAATTGAATAGCGAGGCAGTAATTGATTTTGTGAAAGCTCTTTGTAAAGTTTCAATGGAAGAGCTGCGATCTACATCTGATCCACGAGTTTTTAGCCTGACAAAGATAGTTGAGATTGCGTAAGTAGTATGTTTTTTCCCACCTGCATCTTGTGGTAGTTACTGGATGGAGATTTATACTCTTTTTTTTTTCCTCCCAATACAGGCACTATAACATGAATCGTATAAGGTTAGTTTGGTCAAGCATCTGGCATGTCCTGTCTGAATTTTTTGTAACTATTGGCTGCTCAGAGAACCTCTCAATTGCGATATTTGCAATGGATTCTTTGCGCCAGCTGGCAATGAAGTTCCTAGAGAGAGAGGAATTGGCCAACTACAATTTTCAGAATGAATTTATGAAGCCTTTTGTCGTCGTTATGCGCAAAAGCAGAGCTGTCGAGATCAGAGAGTTAATTATTAGATGTGTCTCTCAGATGGTACTGACTCGTGTTAATAATGTCAAGTCTGGGTGGAAAAGCATGTTCATGGTACCATTCTTTCTCATGATGGTTTCTATTAATATTGGCTTATTGCCCTCTAATTGAGTTATACCCCTTATTCTTTTGCACATCAAAAAATCATTTATTCTTTTACAGGTCTTTACAACTGCATCATATGACGAGCACAAAAATATTGTTCTTCTGGCCTTTGAGATTATTGAGAAGATTGTGAGGGATTACTTCCCTTACATAACTGAAACTGAAACCACAACCTTTACGGATTGTGTGAATTGTCTTATTGCTTTCACAAATACTCGGTTTAACAAGGATATAAGTCTCAATGCTATTGGTTTTCTTCGTTTCTGTGCGGCAAAGCTTGCTGAAGGAGATCTTGGTTTTTCCGCAAGGAATAAGGACAAGGAAAAAGATGGGAAACTAGATAGCTCCCAGTTGCTTGATAAAGAAGATCACCTGCATTTCTGGTTTCCTTTATTAGCAGGTAGGATAGCTGGATTCTCTTGTACTTTATTGTACTAATAGATATTGTAAGAAGCATCCTACTGATGCGTGGTACCTTTGGTTGTTTATGCTTCATATACAACTATTTTATCTGTTACTAAGCGATCAAGCAAGTCACTCTGACAAGTTTCTGATTTCAAATTCCCTATCTTTGTGCAGGATTATCTGAACTTACCTTCGACCTTAGGCCTGAAATTAGGAAAAGTGCTCTGCAAGTGCTATTTGATACGTTACGCAACCATGGTCATCATTTCTCCTTGCCCTTATGGGAAAAAGTGTTTGACTCTGTACTTTTCCCGATATTTGACTATGTAAGACATGCTATAGACCCTTCTGGTGGAACCTTGCATGAACAAGGAATTGAAAACAATTCAAGCGAGCTAGATCAAGATGCATGGCTTTATGAAACATGCACTCTGGCTCTCCAGCTAGTTGTTGATCTCTTTGTAAAATTTTATGATACTGTTAATCCACTGCTGAGAAAAGTTTTGATATTGCTGACAAGTTTTATAAAACGACCCCATCAAAGCCTTGCTGGGATTGGTATTGCTGCTTTTGTCCGCTTGATGAGTAACGCAGGATCTCTCTTTTTGGAGGACAAGTGGTTTGAGGTGGTTACATCATTGGATGAAGCTGCTGCAGCAACACTTCCAGATTTTTCACTTATAGTATCATCCGATGCTCATCTTGAGCAATTGGCTAGAGATAAAGGAAATTCTTCTGTTGAGCCAGGTAATGAAGAACCTGAAGGCTCAGAAGATGATTTGGAGAGTTCGAGAGCCCGAACCCTGTATTATGCAATTAATGATGCTAAATGTCGTGCTGCTGTTCAACTTCTGTTGCTTCAGGTTGGTATACTTTTCCTTCAGTTGCCTTTCCTTCCTACTGATAGGATTGTTGCAGATGTTCCTTTACGAGAATATTTTTAATGAAATGTTTATTTTAAAGATATGTTTATTCTTGTACATGGTACAGTGCTGGAGCCTTAACTCTTAATTTGGTTTTCACAGGCTGTTATGGAGATTTATAACATGTTTAGAGCTTGTTTGTCAGCAAAGAACACTATTATACTCTTCCGAGCTCTTCACGCTGTCGCATCACACGCTCACAAGATTAACAGTGATAGTTTGCTTAGGTCTAAGCTATTGGAGCTAGGTCCAATGACTCAGATGTTGGACCCACCCTTACTTCGTCTTGAGAATGAATCCTATCAATTATGCCTCACTCTGCTACAAAATGTCATCTTAGATAGACCTGCTGAGGATGGGGATAAAGAAGTGGATGCATGCCTTGTTGATCTCTGTACCGAGATCCTTGAAGTGTATCTTGACACGGCAAAATCCGGGCTGCTGGTTCGCTCTTCAACTGGTGCTGAACAACAACCTTATTGGCTTATACCTATTGGTTCTGGGAAAAGGAAAGAGCTAGCATCAAGAGCACCTGTTGTTGTAGCAACTCTCCATGCTATATGTGAAATGGGGAATCTCTCTTTTGAGAAGAATTTGGCTCATTTCTTTCCCCTCCTTGTGGGTCTTATAAGCTGTGAACATGGATCCAGTGAGGTGCAGGTGGCCCTTAGTGACTTTCTTGGGGCATGGGTTGGTCCTGTTCTGCTTCGTTCTTGTTGAAGCTGACAGAAGCTAATCATTATACTGTGAGGTATGCAATTTTCTCGTCTTCCATTTCTAATTTTTTAGATAAAAATTTTAATGCATGAACAGTTAGATTCGGTTTGCATTATTTTTGGTCCTTCGTAATGGAGTTACCTGGAACTCTGCCTGATGTTGTAAGCTTTTGCCTTGCTCTTTACTAAATATGGCCCTGATATTGCTTTTCCTTTTCTTTTATTGCGATAATTTTAAGCAGAAATTTCTTTCTTGCTTTATGCTTGAATGTCTTCTTGCCATGATCATCCTGTTGATTGACTTCTTTTTTCTTCACCGCCGGAAGCTTCTACTGTACACCTTCTGCTATTGATTAAGCAGTGATTGCATTACTGTTTTCAATTTCTTGTTCAGTGACACAAGTGTTCTTTATTTGGACAAATCATGGATCCCATATTTTATCATATCAAGTTTTCTGTAATGCATACAGATTCTAGTTTTTATCTATAGGACAACTATTACACTTAAAAGTGCTTTATGGATCAGATTAAGAAACATGTGCATAAAATGAGCGTAGCAGAAATCAGAACCTTGTTATGGACAGATGGACTTAGAAATGAGTGCACTCGTGGCAAGATGGTGCTCTTTTTGATGATAAAATGAGAGAATGGTTTAAGATGGCTTGGTCATGTACGGTGGAGGCTTATTAAATGCACCAATTGGGAGAAATGCTAAGATCATAACTAATGGAGAAAGTAGGACTTAGAAAACTTGTTGTAAGCCGTTAAGAAGGATAACATAATGGTTAATTTAGTAGAGAAGATAGCTCTCAACAAAACTGAATGAAAGAATAAAATTCATGTAGCCGACCACCAAAAATGTGGAATAAATGTTGTTGCAGAAATACCCAGGCCCGTACTCCTATATTATTGTCTTGAACGTCAAAGCTTTGGAGTTATGTGGTAATACCATACTATTATCATGAATACTTCGCATGCATTCTGCATTAACAGCATTCATGTAGTTCACCTCAAAAATTGGGTGAAGGATTTCTTGTTATTGTTATTTATTTTTAATGTGGAATTATAGAAATACTTTGCTTGTTAAAAGAAGTATCATATTAGTTTGTTATGACTATTATTATTATGAAAATTCCCAGACCTTTTTAGTTAATTATCATCCATTATTGTACTGTTTATAAACACAAATTTTTCTTCTTTTTTGCTAGTTTCCAGGACGTGCCCTCTGGGACTCTTATGCCCCACCCCATCCCTTGCTACTTATCCAGATGTTAATAGGGGCTGCTGTTTATAAGCATGAAATGGGGGTGGAGTTTTGCGTCTCCTGCAAATTTAGACGTTGCAATTGTCCTAGGAACGAAGCATGAGAAACAAGCAAAGTGTTGAATTCTTGTGGCATATTAAGGATATGGGAGAAGTCTATAATAGTTTTATATAATGAATCATGTGGGTTTTGTAAAGAGGAGTTGTTATTTGTAGAAAATGGTGAAAGTTGGTGGCGGTTCTTTATGGTTTAGCCTATTCTCGTTGTGTGCCATAATTTCGCAACACGATATGGAAAGGGAAATATGAAAAGTTCAGCCTGTTCCATTGTAAGACATAAATGTGTTGAGATTTTGCTGTTCTTTGTGTTTATAATGCATCCTTGTAGATTTTATTTGCATAAACTACCTGGTTAAGTGTTCAGGCATGATGAGTAGATTCTAAGTTATTCTCAAGTTAGCGCTGTGATCTTTTTATTTGTTTTTGGATTCTCAGTGAGATTTAATCCTCCGGCATTTTTCTTGGTGTGAAGGTTTCTGAATGTAACTACTAGCTGATTACTGGATTTGAAATGGGAGTAATGGGAAATGTGAGATCTGAAAATTCTAACAGTGCTTGCTTTCATTTTTTTTTTCTAGAGGTTCTGTTTTCTTATCTAAAAGATTCAAATTGTGCTATTCATAAAGTTAATTTCTTTCTTTATCGTAAGATTTTCACGGTGGCCCAGTGTTTTCAAGTTGTCATTTGCGTATCTTGAAACATGATGTGACTGTGCAAATTTGAAGTTACTATTTTCAACTGAATTAGTTGGAGCAGAGCTTAGTGTTTTATCAACAGTTTATTCTCAAAAAAAAAAAAAAGGAAAATTATGGCAGTTTTGTGCTCAAGCCCCTCGCGCAATTTTTTGTTGGGAAGCAATGTATAATATAGCTGTTAAATGTAGATTTCATGATTCATTAGTCATTACCCTTATTAAATAACCTGTTGATTGTAGATGACAATTTCTACAAAAACTGTTGGGCTAAATGATAAAATCTATAACCCGCCTTCTTCCGAGGATTCTCACGTAAAATACAATTTTCACTTTGTGCAAGCTGTAGCGGTTTATAATTAGTAAAGACTGATAAATATTTTAATCCCAGCCATGAAACCCATGACCTATCTACCGTTAATAATTTAACAAACTTATGAGAGTCAATGGGTCCATTATTCATGTTTTTATGCTATTGTCTTGTACGTTTTGCACTTTAATGTAGCAATATTCGCACTTTCGTTGCATACAACATAAAAACAAGAAGATGCGACCATAGACATTTTCAACAAAATAGCTTTTTCATTGGATTTTATATATTTCATTTACTTCAAAGGTCAAAATAGATGAAGTTGCACTCGCAATAAGGCCTAAAAGAAAAAACAGAACCAGATTCTCCTAGCTGTTAACTATGGACCGTAGCGGTCTCTTTCACAAAGTCTACAGTGTTTGATTCATATTATTTTAGTTCTCATTAATTAATGGGCACGTAAATAGGTTGAAATTTATATATATATTTTATGAATCAGGTTTTCTATTTGACCTAGTCATTTAGATATTTTATGAATCAGGTTTTTTATTTTATTGTGAACTATTAGGCGTTTTGCAGCAAGTACCATAATCAATTTTTTTTATTAAAAACACGAAAAGAACTAGACGTAGATATTTTTTATACTATAATACATAGTTATGACAGTACCTAGTATTTTTCTTTTGATTTGAAAAGATTAAATTAAAAATTCATGATAGTTTTATGCAAACCTTTTAATAATATATTAGTTTCTATGAAATTTACCCTTCATATTTTGTNGGATTATGCCTTTGATTCTTTGTAGAACTTCATGAGAATTAGATAGGGTTAGAGATCTATCATAATTAGGAGTTTGGGTTCCATCATGATTAGGAGTTTGAATCCTATTATTATTAGAAAGTTAGGCTAGAGATAGAGTTTTGGTTTTCCTATATATATTCTTCTATTATTGGAGGAAAAACCAAGCAGAGGAGAGAGAGAGCCAATATTCTTGTAATCTAGGGTTAACAGAGGGCGTAGCCTGATTCAAGAATATTGTGCGAGAGGCGAGCGTTTCGTGATCTTTATCCGTGTAAAAGATTACAAGGAGTGAGTTTTGGAGAGAATATGAGAGTTGATTATATATGTGAGGTTGAGAGATTGAGAGACGAGAGTTGAGTGGTTCCTCTTGTAGTTCTATCTGATACATAGTGAATTTCTCGTATTGTTGCCTCGTGGACGTAGGTCGAAGTTGGTCGACCGAACCACGTAAATCTCGGTGTTCTTTTTCTTGATTGTGGTTGTTCTATCTTATTGATTGGGGTTGGCTTCCGAGTTGCGCATATCGTGGTAGGCGGGGAGATTGAAATTCCCCAACATGTTATTCATTGGGATAATGAGATTGAGACAATTATCCCTACTTTTCCTAAAATTATTCCACTTTTATATAACCTTTTTGTCCCAATCTCCAAAAATTACCTCATTATTAACTTTGTGACAATCATGAAGAAAGTGGGATAATTTTGAAGCACTAATTTATTAAATATCTAATATATGTTAATTATATTATAATATATAATATATCTTAATTATATTATATTATAAAATTCTATTATAACGTAAGATAATAAAATATTATATAATATTATCTAATATAATATTATTACATATTGGTTAATATTATTTCATATATTATAATATTAGTATTATATTATTATAGTATTACTTTATATTATTTAGTATATATTTTATTAGTTAGAATAAAAATATAATTGTAGTATTTTTATGATATAAAATATTATATTACAATAGAATATAATTATTATATATTTAAATAAATAATATTATTATATTATATAATAGATTTATTAATATAATTTACGTATTTTCTATTAAAGGTTAATTAATAATAATATACTTTAAATATGATGTATAATGTGGTAAGTTATACATATTAAATAATATATTGATGTACTACAATAAAAATCATATGCAATTTTTACTATATTATTAAAGTATGATAATTATATTATAATTAATATAATATATTATATTTATTTAATGAATATTTTTTAATTAATCGATATTGAACATTTAATATATAGTTAAACAATAAAAAATATAATCAATTACTATATATTAAAGTATGATAATATATATAAAATTAATATAATATATTATATTATTTAATAATATTTTTTAATTAATAATATTGAACATATTAATAGTATATTATTATTATCATAAATATTATATTTTAATAAGGAGCCATGTCATCAATTATTCTATTTAACTTATAGTAATTATCATAAAATAAAACAAAATATTATAATTTTAATAATGGTTTAATATTTTAAATAATATTATATTGAATTAAACAAAATATTTGATTAAATATTATATTAAATATATTGTTTGTATATTATATCAATTATCATATGATATATCATATTATTATAATATATTATATTAAATTAATTAATAACATTAACTATAGTTATAATTAATTGGTAATTATAATGTAATATATTATAGTTTAGTATAAAGTAAAACAATGTATTACATTATAAAACATATCAAATAATATGCTCAACTAATTAGATAAATTAATTTAGACTTAATTGATAGATAAATGTTGTACTTTAATAAGGTGTCAAATCATCAATTATCTCACATGAGTTGTCAAATTAAAACTTCAAATTATCTCGTTGTCCTAAGTTGTCCTATTTTACACCACTCAAAATATCCCAAAGGGATAAAATTATTCAATTGAAACAATTATCCCACTTAGCCCCAACTTGTCCCAACCAAGAACCCCCCTAGTCTTCTCTTTTTTCACTCGTGGAATCCTAGTTTCAGTGTACTTTCCGCAAATGCTCATTTCTTTTAATTTCTTTTCTTGGTAGAAAGGTTTTTGAGGTCAGCCGGTTCAAATTCTTTTTAAAGTGATTAGTTAGTGGTTAAAAAGATGGAATAACTACAACTAAGGTGGGTTAATTTTCAGATTAGGCATGAAAAAAGATGGTCTAGTGATTAAATAAGCTGGAGCAAGAATTTTAATAGATACTTTATATCTTATATCGTGTGGGTTCCATGTACAAAGTTGAACTCGTTCTCATAGATCAAAACTCTAGTTTTACACAATGATAATTTTTTTTCTGGCCTGTTTTAAATGGAATTTTAATGCGATGTTATGCTTGAAAACTTTAAAATTGTGATGAGAATATAGGAGTTAAATTTTCACATTCTAAGATCACTAGAGCTCAATTTTATACTCAGACTCGGTTTGTATTTTGAATTAGATTTGATTTAGACTGAAGGTGGACATCATTGAGATAATGTTAACATCAGTTTGGTTAAAAAGATGTCGGGAAAAAAGCATTAAATGGGGTCTAATTATATATTAGATAAAGAGAAAGATGGATTAAGCGATTAACTAATCTTCTAATTAAAACGATTAAAATTTGTCTACTTTTGGGTCAGATTCCAAACGGTAGCGTATCCATCACCTTTTTGTGCCCTTAATCATCAGGAAGATTCCTTGAATTTGTTATTTTACCTAGCATTAATCCTAAACCTAGTTAGAGATTTAAGTTTTTAATGAGGTTCACTGTTTGGATTCCTTGAGTTTGCGTTTCTGTTTGCATGTGTGAAAAGTCCAGTAATTAATAATGGTGTAATATAATTATTATAACCAAGCATAATGTCTAAACATAGAGCATGATGACCATTATTTGCAAAGCATGTGTATAGTATCAAGTGCGAGAATTCTCTTTCTTCATCTTCACACATGCTCTATATAGGATATTTAATTTACTATTATTAGAGAAAAATTAAAGATTTAACAAGCACTTATCTAGCAATCTCTATTTATCAAACATATCTTCATTGGATTGTTATTTAAACTCTCTGAACACAGAACTACTTTGTTTGTGATTTTAAACCCTATGGAATTTCTTGCTAGATATCATGCCTAGATATATACCATGTGTACCTTCATTATTTTAAATAATACTTGGATATGGATACTTTATGTTTTTTTTTGAAGGAAGCACTTTATGATTTTTTTATAGCTAAATAACCAGATAGTTTATAGTTACCAAATCTCCATTAACTATATGAATATTCAATTAGAATTTCTTTTGATTTTTTAAAATTGGTTAATCAATTACTGTAACTTCTTGAACTGTCATTGTCCAATATAAGAGAATATATTATAATTGAAATCTCATTGGCCATAAAAAAAACTCTGTCCCATCAGAAATCTATGAAGTGACTGCTAGCATTTACTAATGGGCTTCACAATATTGATTTATCCCCCTATTTCCAATGGCTTCTCTTAAAATAATTGAATCTATCATCACAATTAGTCACACATAAGATCTTTTATCATCTCCATTGATGTGAAGGTCAACGCATAGATGCCATCATGGTTTACTCAAGCCCTTCGAGCCACAATCTCGGATGTGAGAATA